TCGCAAGTTTACCAACTTGGCTTCCTTTTCATCGCAAAGGAGCCTAAGGGATCTCTCCTCATCTAGAGCTTTCCGCAGCCTCACTTCATGACGAAGTAGCCCGGACTTAAGCTTGTCAAAGAACTGCAAAAGAAAACCCAATAAGGAAGGGAAGGTGCGGAACGCGAAAGGCCTATGCCGAAACTCACCACAAAGTTAAGCCGCTGGGCTTCCTCGTAGGCCGAGCACACATCTTCCAACCTAGCTCCCTCAGCTCTGAAAGGGTTGACTCCAGTCTAGGCACGGTCGCTTGGTGTATGCGACCCCGTCTTTCGAGTATCCCTCAAAGTACTTTTGATGAAAAACGAAGATGACAACAACGGAGAAACCACCTTTCCAAAACCAGGAACCACGGGCAGGGCAAGCCCCGACAATTATTCTGCTCCGGAGCCCCTATCTGGTTTTGCCTTGCCTTGAGCGTCATCGCCCCGTAGAGGCATCTCTCGCTTATTGTTGTCGTTCTTTAGCCAGGAAGCTAGCAATCCTTCCCCCTCTCCAAACGGGTGCAGCCTCGCCTCGGAAGGCTCTCTGATGCCTACAACAGCAAGATTAATACGTAGAAAGGGAAAATGCCTCTCCAAATGAAGGAAGGGAAAGGAAAAAATAATACAATACGCACCATGATATTTTGCTTCCCATATGCCCAGGGACAAAGCTCGCCACTTGCGCTCATCACATGTCGAGTGGGTCGCAAACCTCCGAACCCAATTCGGTAGATCAGGAACCTCACCCAGTGCCCATGAAGCTGCTGTAGAAAAAGAAAAGAAGACACGATTACGAAACCAGCCTTCGCCGTAAACAGAACTGAGAAGGCACGGAATGTACCACTTACGTGTATAGTTCCATTCCTCAGGGAATGGTATAAGCTCCACGGGGATAATGTCAGCGGTCCGGATTCGGACGAATCGACTTATCCACTCCCGATCTCCATCATCCTCATCATCAACAATGAATGGTGCGGTCGACCGGCATCGCAAGGTTAACAAACCTCGATAGTGAAAGGGTCGGTACAACCTAATAAGATGACTGAGTGTAAGTTCATGCCCCGCCTTCTTCACAAAAAATCTCATCATCAACACTTTTTGCCAAAATGACGGGTGGATCTGCGCCAAGGTAACTCGATACTTTAAATAAAAGTCAAACACAACCCTATCAAGGGCGCCCAGTGTGAAAGGATACGTGTAAACATTCAAGAATCCATCGGCACGAGCCGTGATGCCCTCATCCGGGGAAAGTATCTGTAACACTACTTCCTTCCCCCATCCGCAGTCTTTTCTCACCAACCCAAGATGCTCTTCTTCTATCAAAGAAGTAAACTTCAAGGTATACTCTCGCTGGTCCTGTATGCCAAAGGTGGGGCTCTCCCTTCTCTGCCGGACAGACCCCAATGCGACAGTCATGGCTATGGCATAATTAGATAACTAAAGCAGGAATCTGTGCAAGTACGTTTGTACTGAAGTAACGAAAGGCTTAATGTATAAAAAGAAGGGTAACTACATAAAATGGTAAGATCTCCAAAAGAGAAGAAACAACCCTATATATATATATATATATGGAAAAAATGACGACGATCCACCTGCCTCAAAAGCCGATTAAAAACACTGATCGATATTACCAAATCGCCTCAATAACTTTGTATCCTTATCATACATTAGGTGACGCCATGTAATGTTTTGGGAACGGAAATCCCTGTATCACCGCAAGTCCCGATGTGGTACCCGACCTCAAGGACCTCCATCAAAGGGAAGTTAGGCTCTAAGAAGCCAACGACATCACCACAAGTCCCGAGGTGGTACCCAACCTAGAGGACCTCCATCAAAGGGAAGTTAGGTTCTAAGAAGCCAACCACATCACCGCAAATCCCGAGGTGGTACCCGACCTCGAGGACTTCCATCAGAAAGAGGTTGGGCTCCAAGAAGCCAATGGCATCATCGCAAGTTCCGAGGTGGTACCCGACCTCAAGGACCTCTAGCAAGGAAAGGTTAAGCTCTAAGAAGCCAATGGAATCATCGCTAGTCCCCAGGTGGTACTCGACCTCGAAGATCTCCATCGAAAAAACGTTAGGCTCTACGAAGCCAATAACATCATTACAAGTCTCAAGGTCGTACCCGACCTCGAGGACCTCAATCAAAAAGGAGTTAGGCTCCAAAGAAATAAGCATTTAAAGTCCACCTATATGGGCTTGATCACGACGTACCATCCAAATTCGGGTAAAACCTCGTTCGAGATCTATCTACAATGCCTTAGGGCTATCTACGCTAAGTCCAAAGCAGGTTTCCATGTGGCCTGAGTTTGAACGAATCCTCACTTGGGGACTGCTCTCAAAAGCTTAAAGGCAGTCCCTATCCTCGGACCTCCAAGAAAATCTGCCCTCAAAGATTACCACGGGATCTAAATGGTAAATCCCGATCTCAAGCCTCGAAGCTTTACTTTCGTTCAACTAGAAATAAAGGTCTCGACGACCCGGGTTTATCGGCCAAATCCAGGCTTGGTCCAAGGAACGACAAAAGGTTCCACGTGGAGTCGTATTAATCAATCGAAGGTCAGGAAAAATGCTCACACCTGGGCTCGATATTGGAAGCAGCCGATAGAATTGTGCATTCAAAGTCTCCATAAACGTAAATAAAAGGGAATATAGCAAGCATCGAAGACAAAATTCAAGAAACAACTTTGTATTAATAAAAAATTGATTATAGAAGCCCACGAAGGGTCCTTACACAGAAACAAAGAAGCAAAAAGGTACACATATAGTAAAAGCCTAGAGCCTAGCCTACTCTCAAAGGTGTATCCTCGGCAGCAACATCTTCGATCACCATCCCCTCGGGCATGCATCCTCGGTGGCAATATCTTTGTCCACCACTTCCTCTGGGGTTTCATCTCGGTTATCCAGAATAATATCTCTGAGGGCGAACATGAAGAAGAGGAAAGTGGGATGATGAAGAAGAGGAAAGTAATGCAGAAGAAGCAGAAAAAAAGAGACATAGCCCACCGAAGCCAGAGGTGGAGTATTCTGCGAGCATCAACCCTACTTGTACGACTGCTCCAAGTCCGCCTTCTGGGACATTGTACCGTGCAAGTTTAACGGCCGGTTGTCCCATTTTATCCCTTGCAAAACCAAGGGGATGAAGTGTTACACCAGGCCAGGGTAGGAGAGTGAGCAACGGTATATAGTCCGAACGTTCTCCCAAGCAGCGGTGTAGAGTCCAAACGTTCTCGAAAGTCGGAAGAAGTCGGCCCCCCTATCTCATCACCTCGAACCAACGATGACAGCAGTAACAATCGTAACAGCAACAACAACAATGACAAGACAGTATAATCTCGCTCGGTAAAGGAAAGCCCAGGCAAAAGGCCATAGAGTGGCTGATGAGAACATCGCCATGTAACCTTAAGGCCATAGACCCCAAACATGGTAGGAAGCAATGGAGGAGGATAGTGAGAAGAAAGGGATGGAAAGATATTGAAAGGAACTTGGATTAAAAGATAGTACCGAAAGGCCCCTATTTATAGGGGGTGATAGTATGGCCGACAACACCATTAATGCCTTTGGAAGACGGATTGGCAGGCGCAATCAAACTGAATCAACAGCGACACTGTCGCTTTGAAGAATGGGGATCAACAGCACATTGAATAACGCTAAAAAGACAAGTCCATACGATGTCCCGGTTATCGTGAAGGCTTACGTCATAAGTATGATATTATCAATGTGACATCATCACGGGAAGTCCAAAGAGTTGGATGTCAAAATCGTTTCTTATCTCTCCTCTCTAAGAAATGCGAGGACTATTTGTTTACGGTGAAATCGGAGGGTCCAATTCCTCGCCATCGAAACACCTTAGAGGATCTTCTCGGAGGATCGGGGCTACAAGGCTACGGTCGAGTTTCCTCTCTCTTGGTTCAACGACGCTCGACCTGGGGACAATGTTGATTGCGGTTGTGATAGAAATGGGGAGTTCCCAAGAAATACAGCTAGGGCTGACAAAGTCTAGTAGGCTACTCTAAACCTGAATCAGGGCACCATCTAGCTGTCCCATCTCCATATCTTTATAATTAATGCATTTTGTACTATGTTGGGATTCCCCTCATATATAAAAGGGATCCTTATCATTTTAGAGACCTTTGTTGCTTCAGTTTCCCCACATGAAATATACAAGAATATTCTCTTTGCTCTCTAACACATTCTCTTGATATTATTGCTTCCCTTAATTATCTTCATTTTTGTTCATCATTTATTGCTTATTATTGGCCATAAAGAGCCTTCGTTGATTTTATTACAATTGTTAGTCATATTCCAATCACCTTTGGTAGCTCACAGTCGAGCTCCGGAATCGACCTCGAGACCCCCGAATCGACAAGCTCGAGGCCCCAATTGCTAACCTATCGGTTTGGTTATCATCTTACTCCTTACTCTTATCTCGTTTCTAAACCTCACACATAGCGTCAACTGCTTAACAACTAGCATAAAAATAGATCACGTATTTTTAGAGTCCCATAATAAAATTTAATAGTTATTACCATTTTTGCGGTAAATATACCCAAAACCGCAATTTCTAGTCTATGAAAACTTACATTTGATAGTGGAACTTCATGCAAAAGTCATGGAAATTTACTGAAAATAAGTTAAAGTTACTAACATATTGGGAAGAAATTGCTCTCCAAAATCGCCTCTATGGAGTCCAGGTCTCAAAAATGGAGTGAAATGAGCTGTGTACCGAAATTCCCATATTTTATCCAGGTATCACAATTACAAACTCGTGTTCATAATTACTATGTACACAAATGCGAACAGTTGGTCGTAATTGTGAACCAGACCTTGAGCCCCCAATATCGTGAATACGACAACCTAGTCGAAAATGCGATCATGGGGACCTCCTCAAAATGAGAAAAAATCTTTGAAAATGTGAAGCAGTCCCCATTGGCCCAAAGTTGCAAATGCGACGGACTCATCGCAAATGCGAAGACCACTAGTCCTCAAGTAGGACACATACTTTAAAAAAGCAAACTGCCCGGCCCCAGCCCATCTTCGCAAATGCGAGCATTGTCTCGCATATGCGAGATCTGTAGATTAACAACACAAGCAACACACTGTCATGCCAAATCAGTCTGCAACCTATTCGAAACTTACTATCAAGCTAAAATCACAATAATAACATCATACAAATGCGAACTCAGGCTAAAATCACAATAATAACATCAAAAATCAAAAATCGATCAATAAAACTCAAAAATATTTCAAGGTTAAACTCAATTTTTCAACTTTCCACTTGTAGCGCCAAACGGCCTTGGGTCACCCAAGACCCCAACCAAATATGCGTACAAGTCCAAAATCATTATACAAACCTACTGGAATTGTAAAAATACCAATCCGAGGTCGTTTACCAATAACGTTGACTATGGTCAACTTTAGCCATTTTCAAAGTCAAAATCACATTTTCTTCAAGAATTCACATTTAAACTTTCCGCAAATCGACATGGACGACACACGCAAGTCATAAATCATCAGATAGAGCTATGAAAGGTCTCGAACATAAAAAGGGGAACTAGTACTCAAAACAACTTGTCTGATCATTGCATTGTCCACCTCTAAAAGAAACGTTAATCCTCGAACGGACATAGAAATGTACCTAAATTAGCAAAAATATGTGGATATATACTCCTAATGTCTGACTTGAACATCAAAATAGCTTCCTCAATCGATTGATCTATCAAATGCACTTTCATAGGAGGAATATCTTTAGATCTCAATTTCAAACGTACCGGTCTAGAATAGCCACTGGCTCTTCCTTATAAGGCAGATTCTCATCAAGCTGCACCGTGATGAAGTCTAAAACATGTGACCTATCCTTATGGTACTTGCGAAGCATGGAAACGTGAAATATCGGATGTACTTCCAGAAGGCTAGGAGGCAATACAAGCCTAAAAGCAACCTCCCCAACTTTCTCCAACATCTCAAATGGGAAAATAAACCTTGGGATCAACGTTCCCTTCTTCCCAAATGGAATCACGGCCGTCATAGGCAACGCTAGGAGAATAACATTCTCACCCTCTATGTAAGCTACATCCCCAACCTTGCTATCTGCATAACTCTTTTTCCCGGACTATGCTGTACGCAGCTGCTCCTCAATCACATTCACCTTTTCCAAAGCATCACGAACCAAGTTTTTACCTAATAATCTAGCCTTATCGGTCTCAAACCATCCAATCAGAGAACGACATCACCTCCCATATAAGTCCTCGTACAAAGATATCGGGATACTTGACTAATTATTGTTGTTGTAGGCAAACATTGCTAGAGGTAGACATTGGTCCCACTTACCCCCGAAATCTATAGAGCATGCCCTCAAGATATCCTCTAAAATCTGAATGGCCCGCTCGGACTGCCCGTCCATCTGAGGATGAAACTTGGTACTCAGCTCAATCCACGTGCCCAACTCACATTTCACAGCTCTACAAAAGTGTGAAGTGAACTGTGTGGCACATTCTAAAATGATAGAAATAGGCACACCGTGCAGGAGGATAATCTCCCGAATGTAAATATGTGCTAAACGCACAGAAGAGAAGTCATCACCGTAATGATATATGCGTACTTAGTCAACTGGTCCACAATGACCCAAACAACATCATACTTCCTCAAGGTACATGGTAATCCTACCACAAAGTTCATAGTGATGCGCTCCTACTTTCACTCCGGCATTACTAACTTCTGAGTCAAATCATCCAGTTTCTAATGTTCATATTTCACCATTTGATAATTTAAATACCGAGAGACATGCCCAATAATGTCTTTCTTCATTTTTTCCACCAATAGTGGTGCTTCAAGTCACGATACATCTTCATGACACCTAGGTGAATGGAATATCGTGAATGATAGGCCTCCTCAAGGATCAACTCTATCAACCCATTGTCATTCGAAACACAAATCTAGCACTGAAGCTACATAACACCATTCCAATCACGACCTTATTAGCACCACCCCACTGCACTATGTCTTTTAACAACAACAAGTGAGGATCATCAAACATGTGAGTCTTGCTATGCTCCAACAAAGATGACTGCGCCAAAACACAAGCTCGAACCCTGCTAGGCACCGAAACATCCAACCTCAGAACTTGTTAGCCAAGGCCTAAAAATCCATGGCCAATGGTCCCTTCACTGCTGGTATTATCAATGCACATTCTAATTGATCCATCTTTTTTCTTAACAAACAACACTGACGCACCCCAAGGTGAAACACTCGGTCTAGTAAACCCTTTGTCAAGAAAATCCTGCAACTAATCTTTCAATTACTTCAACTCAGATGGAGCCATACGGTACAGTGGAATAGAAATAGGATGAGTGACTAGAACCAAAACAACGGAAAAGTCAATATCCTTGTCGAGTGGCATACCCGATAAATCTATAGGAAACACCTATGAAAATTCACTCACAACCGGTACTAAATTCATAGAAGGAACCTCCGCACTAGAATCTCAGATATAAGCCAAATGAGCTAAACACCCCTTCTCAACCATACGCCTAGCCTTCAAATATGAAACCACCATACTAGTGGAATAACTTAGAGTCTCTCTCCACTTTATCTAGGCAACCCCAGTATGGCTAAAGTCATAGTCTTTCTATGATTATGTAAGATAGTGTGATATGGGACAACCAATCCATATCAAGATTGACCTCAAAATCTATCATATTCAGTAACAAAAAATCAACTACAATATCAAAGTCATTAATAACACAAGACTTATATACCCAATCAACAACTATGGGATCTCCAATTGGTTTTCACACAGAATTACGAGGCATACTCAAATGCAAAGAAAAATATGAATACATATAAGAATATGTAGAACCCGGATCAAATAACATGGAAGCATCTCTATACCAGATTGAGATAATACCTGTAATAACTGCTTTGAACCACTTCGCCTCAGGATGACCTGGAAATACATAACAACAGGTTTGAGCCCCACCAACCTGCCCTTTACCTCTAGGATGACCTCTCACTGACTAGCCTCTACCTCTAATTGAAAGGCCTCCACCTCAGGCGACCTGACCCCCGCCTTTAGCTGGTTAAGCAGGTGGTGGGTCAACCGATGAAAGAATTATGGCAGGAGTACCCTGCTTTGTCGAGCTTGTGAGCACGTGATTTTTGGCCTATATGAATTATTCCAACAAATTCAAAGCAAAATAATTTATTTCAGTGTTTGCAATTTTGTTGGATTTTGTGGCATTTTCTGTTAATTATTTGCACTTGTCTGTGCACGTTTATTTTATTTATTTCATGAAAATACAAAAATATCACGCACTGCATTTAGTATTTAATTTTATTTTTGTTAGATTAATTAGTAAATTAGTTTGTTTTATAAAATATGAAAATCACAAAAATAGTTCATTTTGCATTTTAACTTTTTAATTTTTAATTGTATCGTCTTTTTTTAAAAATTTAGGATTTAATTAATTATTGTAAATACCATGATGAGTGATTAATCTAATTGGGTAAGTTAATTTAGTTTAAAAATTATTAATCAATTTAGGTTTTATTTTAATTTTGAAAAGAAAAGAATTTGAAAAGAAAAGAAAAAGAAAAGAAATAAAGGAAATCCGAATTTGGGTTGTTACAATTGGTTTTCCCCAGGCCCAAGTGTTAAACACCCGGTACCCGACCAAAACCAGACCAAAACCGCCCTTAACCCAGTCCCTTTCCCCACTAAAACCAAACGACCCCGTTTTGAAGGCTCGACAGATCTGGGTCGTCGATGTTGTTCAATCCAACGGACAGGAACTGAGGGTATGCTTAATATTTAAGTGTCGGAACCCTCAAACCCCTTCCTCATCTCTTGTCTTTCTCACTTCCCCGTTCCAGAGACCAAAGGCCAAACCCTAAGGCGCCGCCTCTCTTTCCACCCCTCTCAGCGGGCGGCGCCGGCTCCAAACACCACCAAAGCAACACCCCAAAACCCCCTCACTCCCCTCTTTTCAAATCCATGACTCTTTTTCCTCGAGTATCCCCCGAACTCGTCGAATCTTACATCGAAATTGAGGCCTAACATGTCAAACCCTAAAATCGACAGACTTGGTGATGATTGAGGCTCAAATGGACCTTGGTCATGTATTTTCATCTGAGAACACATGATTGAGACTCATTTCGGTCAAAATCTAGAAATCAAGGGAAAGACTCCAAGGCTTGCCCAGCCCGTTTAGGTATTTTTACGTTTTTTTTTCTTGTATTTTTCTTTTTTTTTTTAAGTCGTCCTTCTTCATCTCTTTTCTGTGTCTTTGTTTCTGTTTTTCATTNTTTTTCTGTGTCTTTGTTTCTGTTTTTTCATTGTATGCTCGTTGTCAATATTGTGCATGCATGACTTGTTTGTTAATCAGCATAGTTACTTTGTTGTTATTTAAAATTAGTTAATTCAGTTTCATGTTCCTTTTCTTTTGTTTTTGGGTTTTGGTTTAAGGCTTCCATGATTTTTCTTTTGGGTAATTTTAGATCAGTTTTTAAAATGGTGAATCCTTGATAGATTTTAATTGGGTTCTGAGGTATCAAAGGCTCAGATGGAGGTTTAATTTGGATTGTCAGACCCTTTAAATTGGGTCATTTCGACCTGAGTCTGCCTGGCCTTAAGGTAAATATATGGGGTTTGAAAGGGTAGTTTAGGGATTATATTGGAGGGAATCTTTCTGTAACAGAAGTGGGAAGCTTCTTAGAAGCTGACCTGGAGACTAAAATGAAATGGGAGTTTTGAACTGAGGTTCTTTAAGCAAAAACGACAATACTGAAAGGAGCAACAAGTAAAATCTGAAATCTTTATTGTTGCCCTAACACCCCTCTATAAAGGGATCATTTGCTGAAATTTTGGAGGAGGAGATCTTTTTTAAAAAAAATCAGATACAGCTAGAAATACTAAAAAATTACTGTTCCATCGAGATCTTCTACAATTCTTGAAATTTTTTTTTTCAGTTTCTGAAGTATATTCTGATTCATCTGGGTTTGAAAGTGGTTTGAATTAGGGGTTGTGGCTTGTTTCTGTTGCTATTGGTCTATTACTGCTGCTTCCTCTTAGTTTCAAGCTAATTGTTGGTCTATTTTGCAATTATTCAGGTACACATTTCTACATTCCACCTAATGTAAAGCTTGATTTGGAATCAAAATGGAAATCTGGTGCTTTGAGTTGTATTCACAATTAGTTGTGTTCATATTTTACTTTATTTGTCTAGTTCTTATTTTAGAGAATTTCGCTTATTGACTTTCAAAATCTGAATATGTGATCAGGGTCTGAGCTTCTAAATATCATATGACCTAGTAGTTTGGTTTGGTGTCCATCTTAGTCTAATTCTTTAAATGTAGTCATTTGCATTACTTATTCATTTTGAGGTCAGGATTTGGACTTGTTTAGATGCAGTCAATTCGAGATTCTTTTAGACTTTAAATGTGTACTAAGTAAGTTTTTTAAGGCTACTGTAGTATGGATTTGAATCTTGTATGCAAGTTGAATTGATGGTTCAATACCATAGCTTTTGAGTTTGATTATGCGATAAGCTTCGATGTTAGGAAATATCTGCTTTCCTATAGCAGGGATCTAGGTTTGCTTCGTTATTTTTCTTGAGATCTAGTTTAAATTGGTTTCATGTTTAGCTTAGTTTTTTTTCCTTAAAAATCTTCTATTGCATTGTCTTTTAGAATTTAAGTGAGGCATTTTTGTTCTTGAAGAGCTATGATTCAAACAATGAATTTACGGTTCAACAAGTCACAAAATTGCTAAGTTATGTGGGGTTTTCATTGTCATTGGCAAGATCACAATCAGGATTCGAACTTCATGTAATATGTTGATGATTTAGCTATAAATTCTTACTATTATTCAATGTCTAGTTTTTTAGAAAATAATGATCACTTGGGCGTATTGCATCTTTGGTTTATACGTATACCAGTAAGGCATGTGCTGGCCAGGGCCAGTAGGCTCAGCTGACTTTTGGGCCTGGTCTTGGAGGCCCCTTTGGAATTAAGGAGTGGTCTCGCTGTTTC